ACAGTGACTGTGAAGGGGAATGTGGGGGGGACTTGGTGAAGGGAGGAGCCTAGTAAACATAATGTTCTTCATGTAATTGTAGATTAATGATACCAAAAAAAAAAAACCAATGAAAGTGAGAGAAATAAAAAACAATAAAACAAAGCAGAGCAGAGACAGCAGCTGCAGGTTGTGGCAGAGGCAGAAATAGGACAGGCAAGGTACTAAACAGCAGCAGTCCTTAGGGAAAAGGTCACATGCAATATTCTCCTGATGGGTCTCCATTAGGCCACCAACAGGCTGCAATACATTGAAAGAGATTGAATTAATACAAAGTGTGTTCTCTGACCACAACTGAATTAACATGCCTATCAGAAAGAAATCTGGGGACACCCGCAAATATTTGGAAATGAAACAAAACAGGTCTAAACCCATGGGTCAAAGAATAAATAAACCACAAGAGAAACTTCCAGGTATTTTGAATGAAAAGAAAAACAAGCTATCAAAATGTATTACATAAAGCCAAGAAAGTAGAAAAGTGAAGACACATTTTACCAAGTCAAGAATGAGGGAAGGGATGTTCCTGCTGCACATGGAGAAGATTACAGGGAATGTTAGGAGCAACTTCATGCCAAAGAATTAGACAAGTGTGCTGAAGTGAATAAATTTCTAGAAAGACACAAGTTACTAAAATGAACTCAGCAAGAAATAGAAAGTGGATAGAGCTGACAAGTAAATAAACTGAATTATTTTTAAATCTTCTGACAAAAATCCCAGGCTCATGTGGCTTCCCTGGTGCATTCTATCACTATTTAAAGAAGCAGCAATGCTGATCCCTCACAACAAACCTGGTATAGGAGGAAAGAATGCTTCCAAAACCATTCTGTGAGGCTGATGTCACCCTGATAACCAGAGTCAGATCAAGATATAACAGGGAAAATACAAAAATTACAGATGAATATTCCTCATGAATGTAGATGTGAAATCTTTAACAAAATATTAGCAAACGAAGTTCAGCAATCTGTAGACAAGATAGACACCATGATTAGGAGGGGTTTATCCCAGAAGTGCAAAGTATAGCATTGAAAATCAAGTTATGTAATTACGCCATATGAATAAAAGACAAAACCCACATGATTATCTTAACAGATGCAGAAAAAACATCCTACAGAATCCAGCACCATTCATGAGAAAATGTTTCTACAAACTAGGAGTAAAAGGGCTCTTCCTACAGATATTTACTATTGAAAGACTGAGTGCTTTTCCCCAATAAGGCAGGGATGGCTGCTGTTGCCGCTCCTATTCAGTACTGCACTGCAGGATCCAGCCAGGCAGAAGGAAAAGTAAAACTCTTTATTAACAGAGACGACATGATCCTATTTATAGGAAATCTTAAGGCATCCACACACAAAAAACTACTAGAATGAGCATAACAAGGTCACAGGATAATCAAACAAAGGTCAAATATATTGCTATAAACTAGCCATGGACTGGAGGCCCTGGTATGGTGAAAATGACAGTTCTCTCCATATTGCTCTGTAGAGTCAACACCATTCCTTTCAAAATCTCAGTAGGATTTTTAGTAGAAATTAACAAGATGATTCTAAAATACATATGGAAATGAAAGGATCTAGAGGACCCAAAGCGACTTTAGGATAAAAAAGAACAAAGAGGAGTCACACTAACTGATTTCAAAACTCACTATAAAGTGTTATAATTAAGACGGTGTAGTATTGGCATAGAATGGGCATGTGAATCAATGGAATAGAGTTGTGAATCTAGAAAGAAAACACCACACTTATGATCAACTGATTTTTGACAAAAGTGCCAAGAAAACTCACTAGGGAGAGAATAGACTTTCACACACTAACAATGGTGCTGGCACAACTGGATGTCCACGGGCCATTGCAAAATGTTGAGAAAAGGCAGAGTTCACAAGGACAGAAGGCAAACAGGGCATTATGGCTGACTGTGGGAGTCTAGGTTGACTGCAAAACAGGGTCCAGGAAATTCAGGGTAGGGGGAAGGAGGGTGTGCCTTGGCAGTGATGGAAAGATTCTAAAATGGAATTGTAGTGATGGTTGCACAACTCTAAATGCATTTAAGATGAATTATGTTCTCAAATGCATGGATTTTATGGCATGAAATTAAACTCAATAAAGGTGTAAAAAATACAAAATAAAAATAAGGGCCCCATATGGACATCCTGCCTAAAGCAATCTATAGATTCAATGCAATTCCTATCAAAATACCAACAGCATTCTTCAACGAACTAGAGAAAATCATCCTAAAATTCATATGTAACCACAAAAGACCTCAAAAAGCCAAAGCAATCCTGAGAAGGAAGAATAAAACAGGAGGAATTACGCTTCCCAACTTCAAGCTCTACTACAAAGCCACACAGTAATCAGACCCATAGACCAATGGAACAGACTAGAGAGCCCTGATATAAACCCAACCATGTATGGTCAATTAATATATGATAAAGGAGCCATGGACATACAATGGGGAAATGACAGCCTCTTCAACAGCTGCTGTTGGCAAAACTGGACAGCTACATGTAAGAGAATGAAACTGGATTATTGTTTAACCCCATACACAAAAGTAAACTTGAAATGGATTAAAGACTTGAATGTAAGTCATGAAACCATAAAACTCTTAGAAGACAACATAGGCAAACATCTCCTG